GTTCCAATGAATTGTCGTCGACCAATGTGAGTTATGTCGAAACGTTATTAAATGATTGGTTTAAATAGCGGCTGCTTTCTATTCCCATAGGTGTCTTCTAAGGCGGATCTCACCAATCCTACTTACATCGAAGCTTACACTCGTGATCAACCATGGTACACTGTTGGCGGATTCCTCACCAATTACTACATCCCACTGCTGAAAATGAAAGTTGTCAAGGTAATCAAGCCTTTATTTTCCTTCTGTTCCTGTTTAAATATACGGTCGCTTATTGAGTGGGTGGAGACAGCTAATCTCAGCGTCCGCCTATTTGATACGTCACTTTTTCTGAAACTGCAAGGGGGTACACTAATATTCCTAGCCGGAGCACGTCAAGCACGCCAATCCCCAGAAATGGGGCGTGTTTGACCGCTGAAGGGAGGGAGTCGTATTTGCCTTTGAGAAAAGTGTTTCGATTGTTGACTTTTGTCCTTTTCTTGTTTCAAGTGCATTATCTATGCCTTCCCCCCCCCCCCCGCTCGACGACGGTTTCTTATTGGGAGCTTTTGAAGAGAGGTCATGCTTTGCAGTAAACTTCCTCTACAGCATGACCGCTGGGTCTAGCTCTTCCCATATGTTCGATGTAAGCTGCTTTTCGAACTGATAGTTTTAATGTTTCACTACTGTACTCTTTCTGAGCCTTATTATGATTTCAGCGCCAAAATGGGGTTTTGAAGTCCTTTCTAATAAGCGGTAGTACAGCGAATAATCAAAAATTGGAACCCCCATATTGTTGAACATTGAAAAATCAGGCACTTTAGGCTGCAGTGATTTTCATCACTATTTGTGGGGTCATGTTTGGTTTGTATGGAATGTACACCACGACACTTGGATTAGAATTGGCCGACGTACTGCCAGAGGACACTGCACCAGCCGCTTTCATGAGGTTTGAGCCAGTGTAGCATTTGCGATTTCATAGACATTTTTTTAAAAATGATCCAGACCGAAGAGCCCTAGCCCAAGAAAAGATTATAGATTAATACAGTCTTGTACACCACGGATGCTGAGCTGTGTCAGGAAGGCTGGGTTTGCCACAGCGCCGGCCTGTTCTCCACCAATTGTTAAAGCAGAACAAGCCGCGACGATTGGAAGAGAACGAGTTGCCGCCGTGCTAACCTCCCTCCCTCCTCTTTCGTAACGAACATGACCTTATATTACGGATGATTGAACCTACTAGTCCTATGTAATCTCTCATTCAATGGGAAACAGGTGCTTGCGGAAACTCTAATCCCTTTTGAGGTCTACTGCTTTGCCAGTGACTCAATACATTTGCGGTGAACATTTAAAGGCAGTTGGCACGATAAATCCCCCAAGACGACTAGGATCAATACGCCTGGCAGGACGGAATTCCGCGACCCTGAGCAGGCGCTGCATAGCGCTTTCCAAGGAAGGTGCCCTTATAAGGGCCCTATCAAGCCACAACATACCGACCCAAACGCCCGCCACGCCCACCCGCCCACAAATGGACGACCGTTCCTGACGCTCGTATTCATTCATTTGCTAAGCAAATTATGAAGCGAAGGGATTGGTATGAAGCGGCGTGATGCTGCATGCATACATGGGTACACATATGCAGCCGTATCTTCGGTAGCGGTGATTGGTAAGATGCCTACGAGAAACTCGTCCGAAAGTTCGTCGATTTTCAAGTCAGTGAGAACGGCGGCTTTTCCTTCGCAGGATTTTGACCACCGTTTCACTCCATTC